TATATATATATATATATATCTTTGAAGAAAGCAGGAATATAAAATATTTTATTTTTAAGAATTCCCGATTTATCATTTGAATTTATTAATTTGCTTTCAAATCGCGAATCATCACGTTTATTCTTAAATTTACATTGATTTTACTGAGCCTCGGCGACAAATAAAAATTATATTTTACAAATAGCTCAAAATTTGTTGATTCGAGTTTTGTTAAATTAACATTACTCAAAATAAAATTGCCTAAATAATGCATAAATAAAGATGTCTATGTAGATTGCTTCTTTTCTCGGAGTTTTTTTTATTTCATTTCATTTAATTAAATCATAAAATAAAATCTCCTGTTTGCACTGAAATGTAACAACGCATATGATTCGTCAATGCCTGGAACGTTTCAGTAATCATTCAATCAAGTATTATATATTGAATCAAATGGCATTAGTGAAGATCGTGAGATATTATAATTTAACGCATGTCTTAATGTTGAATGTTAAAATAGCAACAGGCAGAGACAAATTTAATAATTTAATATACGATTTTTGACCATTTTGGCTGATATCCCACTTAGTACAATTTTTTGAACGTAGAACAAAATAGTTCATCGAACTTATTGAGCCAATATCGATTAATTAAGTGATAATAATTCGAATTTTGTAGTTGACATGTTTAATCTGTAAAGAGATATTTGCCTTATTAAAGGCAAGAAAATGCCAAATGGTATCAATGTGTTAAAAATAGATTATACATTCGGCTAATTACGAAATCGGATAGTTGAAAGAAAAATATCACTCGTATCTCACTTGAACAAGCACTGCAGCTACTCTGATGAAGTAGATGACGAAGTAGATGATGTCCGGCTAATTGGCTGTCCTGTTCGGTGTGCTTCATTTGCTGCCCTATATCACACATAATACACATTCAAAATATTTACGAATGCCATCAATTTAAGTCAATAGAAAACAAAGAAAAAAAACAAAAAATTTTCGTTGCATAACATCAACTAAGATCCTTCTATAATAATTGATGTCCATTTTATTGAAAAATTAAATAATAAAATAAAAATTTGTGTAATAAATATTTTATTACAGAACTTGCCTAAACAAAGCAGCAAAACTAGATCCGGCTAAAGTAGATCCAGCTATGTTAGCTGCAGCATCCTGGTTTGCTTCAGCCTGATTTTGATCTCCCAAGTTCTGTCTGCAAATGGGACAGGTTCCGTGCTAGAAAAGGAAAACAAAAGAAAAAGATTATTTCGATATTGATATGGGTTCTTAAAATTAGAAATTTTTCAGCTTACTAATTCCAGCCAGGGTACAATGCATGGTGCGTGATAAACGTGCTGGCATGGCAATTGTCTAACAGGTTCGGACAGCTTAAAATCTTCCCAACAAACAGAACATTGTAGCTTACAGTCTGCATAAAGAAAAAAGAATGAAGTTATCAGAACGATTTAAAGTAGACCTTCTTCTTAGCTGAACTTCTCGCATTATCTTTTCTTTTTTTCCCCTCTAATATAGAGAGAAAAAGAGAAAAGAGATGAATCAACTAAGAAATTTAGCTGAAAAGAATAGGCCTAGAAACAATTACAATAGATAAAATAAATCAAATACATAGTTGGAAACGAAGATATTTCTATGTATGAAAATTTTTAATTGCTTAATATAACACTTCTGTTTCTTTTAGATCCTTATCAACTAATGAAATTATCTGACATGTCGTTCTGCTTCTCAAATGATAAGGATCTTAAAAGATGATAGATATATATAGATATTGCAAACTACAATATATATTGGATACTAACCAACTTGACTTTGCGTTATAGTAGTAGTAGGTATCTCATCGATCTGATTGCGTGATAATGGTGGTGGTCCAGTACCATCCATTTGATTCAATAATTGGGTAACAATAGCGTCTAATCCATCACGACCCCAAACATAATCTCCAGGATTTCCCAAGAACAGTCTAACATTGAATCTACATTATTTTGTTTTATTTTAGTAATACTAAAGATTAAATAAAATTGTTTAATGACTTGTACCCTCATGGATGAATGAACTTTTTAAATATTTACTGTTGCCATCACTGTTGGAAAAGCATGTTTACAATTGATGACAATTCATGTGGGGTTTCATTCATTTATGAAAATGCATATATGAGAAAAAAAAACAGGATCAAAATGTAAAAATTTAAATAATTACAATAATATGGAAATGAAAAAATGAAAGTGAAAAAATATTTCACGAGAATATATAAATTTAAAATGCTATAAATCGGTCTATTATGATAGAGAGAAATATAACACATCTTTATTTTATAATTATAATATCTAATATCTAATCGGCTAATATCACAAGCAGTATTTATCACAAAACAACTTACACAGATGGCTGTGCATCTTGACCCACAGAGTTGCTTAGACTCGCTGCTCCCGAAAGATTGAAGATAAAATCTTGTATGAAATTCTCTATAGGCATCTGTAGGCTCTCTTGTCTTCTACGATTGCTATTTTGTAAAAAAAAATAAAAAAAAAATGAAACTTTATTGCCTTATCAATTTTCCAAGCATCATGCATACAGGACATTATTATAATAATAAATATGTAATTTTGCATTTATAAAGGTGAAAGAAGAGACCAAATGCATACCATTTGTCAAATTTATGTCAAACATTCAAACAGGTAAATTCAATTATCTAGCAATCTTTGAAAACTGCATCACTACATGTGACATCAATGGATGCAGAATGTTTATTTTTGCAACTGTTGACAATTTTCTTCTCGCTGATTGGATTATATTTTTAGATCTGGGGTATAGTACCCTATCTTAGCAAAAAAATTTCCAATAGTTGCAAAATAATGATTGTGTTTAATAGACGCAGCTTTACAACTCTTGTAAAATTCTTTAATATGATTGATCTTGCCCTATATATATTTAGATCCAGTTCCTCACTGGATCTAAATGTATAAATCAATTATATTAAATATTACAATTGCAAAGCTGTTTTTTTTTCTGTTAAACGTAACCATCGACAGTTTAGTGCGACAGTTTAATAAAGACAGAAAAGATACCTGCTAGTACGACGTCCATCTTGAGGGTTACGAGACCAATTGGATCTCCTTCTGCTTCCGAGCACATAGTTCCTATTGCCTCCACCCGGCTGTTGACTGGTGTTCAATTGTTGATTGGTATATGTATTCGAGAGACCCATTATCATCTCTATTATATCACGGTCACGGTCGGAGCGCTGCGAAGGTTGTAGCAAATGGATGTAGAGTTTATACATTTCTGATGATTTGTCAATAATTCCTGGTTTAATTAAATTTAAACTCACGTTCAAGGTCAAGATGTCGATATCCCCATCGCTCAGTTCTTCGCTGTTCATATCCATGCCCGAGCTGCCCTCATTGCTGCTGATCTCCAGCTCTTCAATGAAACCGCTCGCGCATCGTGGACACGTATAATTCTAATTGGAAGTGAAATGTCAGGGGAGTCTGAGTTACGCAATGTAGATTGCAAAGTCTGTCTTCGACAGATTGCCTGGGACATATGTACACGCTCATAGTTAAACACTTGCAAATTAATCCGACGTCATTGGCTGGTTCGTAATGATTCGAGATATTTTCAAATATCTTTATTTCCTTACATACTTTGTAAATTTTAACTAACCGCCCTTAGCTGGCGCTAAGACTTTCTAAAACTATTGACATTGCGAAAATAGACCAAAAAAATATTCAGGTTATCATGACCTATCTCAACAATCGTAACATTTTAGCATCACAATGACGCTGGGTTAAATATATGCAGAATGAATATATTCCAGAAAACTAAAATCTACATTCAACAAATCTTAAGCTCTATTTTTGTGATAACTGTTTAAAAGACATCTTATAAAACATCTTGTATTCCGATTTTGGGCTTTATGGATGCTTTCCAGCAAAAGACACAGAAGACAGTATAATACAGTAAATTTTTACTTTTTTGTTTGCCAATGTTAAACAAAGATGAAATGATCATTGTGTTACATTAGGTTTCTTGTTGCAAAGCACCACATATTAGGCTTATTCCATGTATTATACGATAAACTTTTTAAGTCTATTGATTAGTTATAGAATCGAAATAACAAAAATCCGAAAATCTTTTGTGCAGCTAATCAACAGATTTATTGTACAACACATGAAATATTAACCTCATTTAGGATCTCTTACACTTACAATAAATTTAGCAGTATACTGGATTAGCACATTAAAGGCTGCTTTACGTACAATATCTAAATGCAGAAGCATAATGTAATAAACTTTGATAATGAAGTAACATTGTTAAGTAGTATGACAATATCATTATTGAGTACTTAATCGTTTAAAATATTTATACGCTTTTAACTTCGCTAATTTCACAACAGCTTTTAATATGCATCAATTTAGTATACAAGACTGAATTTATTATAATCCTCTATCAGCCTATGGAATTCCTACTTTCTATCAACAATCTGGCTCTTTAAATTTCAAATATTTTTATATCATTCCAAACTATGTAAGTCTGAATAAGCACTTACAAAAACTTATGAAAACTTGTGAAATACTTGCAAAAGCTTTAACAAATCATTAAAATCAGATTATATTTTACTTATTTTTTGCAGATTATCTATCAGATTATCTATCAGAATTTATTTATCAGAATTCAAAATCGACTGTGCCTTCAAAGTCTAACTGGTCGGTCTAAAGTTATTAGCTGCATTCAGCAAAGAAAAAAATTAATCAATTAGCTTTTAGAGTATTATTTTATTTGTTTTTGTCATATGACAAATATATTAGGTGTAGTAAAAAGAAATCCATTATGTTTCTATTCAATTTCATGCAAAAATAATGGATTTCTTTTGCTATACCTAATATATAGAATAAAGAAATTCTTGGATCTCTCTATCTTATAGATAACCAATAGACTTGAAAAAGCCTGTGTCGTACGACAGAAACGCATGAAATAGTGGCTTTAGAGTGCTATTTCATTTGTACGTTTTTGTCGTACGACAAACGTGTACAGAACAGAGATCCTTGAATCTCTCTATCCCATAGCCAATCAACAGGCTTGAAAAATTTGTTTGCCACCCTTAATAATTATTTAATATGATCGATTCTTACACTTAGCTTCAACAAAAACTTAAAGAACCAATCATATTAAAGAATCATCTAAGCACTGATTAGTTTCCTCTGCCAAATGCAGCCAAATGTTTATGAACAATAATAATAATAATAATAATATTAATCACAATGAGACAGCAATATCTCTGCACACTTCAGAAATACTTTAGAAAAGGACAATAAGATAAACAAAGTAACATGTATATATTTTTCTTCTTTTAGAACGCAAGGATATAAATATCTCATTCCAAATGAAACAAAAAGTATAACATGAAACAAGAGAAAAAAAGTAGATTGGTGCATATTTATGCTCTTACTAATTTCGTACAAAGAGCCAGATTAAGGCGAGAATTCCAAAATAGTCGAGGTCGTCGATGAACGCCCTTGTCTACGGCTTGATCAAAACACATCGTCTCACGGCGAAATTTCATCTCAGATTTCGGAGGGATTCCATCGGGAACTACGATCACGAGAACGTGCGTAGCATGCTTCCTAAGGAAGCAGGGAGAGTTCACGACAGACATAAACGTGTATAAATGCGATTCGACTATGAGATTGCCATCAAGGTTTCCGAAAAATCGCGAAGCTGCAGGGAAGTTAACAAGCGTTATCGTTGACCTCGCCGTAGAAGAGAATTGGACAAGCTACGTTTATTGCGGGGACGAGGGGGGAAAGAGACAGAAATTTCGCATGATATGGGGTGACAGTTATATTGAGGACGGATATACCACCGCGGCGATTCCGCGTCGCGCGATACAAACGAATGCCTCAAGATGACGAGGAACATCACGGCGTACTTACCGGCAGCAGACGCTCGATTTTGACGCTGCATTTGTGGCAAAAAAACCGAGACATCGGACTTCCATCCACAACGGCCTCCGCCATGTTTTACGTGTCTCTCAATTTTCCATCTCTCTACTTGCCGTAGTTACGGTTGACGATTTCGGCTACGTTCGACACGCCTCGGTTGGATTCGGGTTTCAGTCACAAAGTACAATGAAACATTAGATTGCAGATTGTGTTGATTTTAGCACGTGAAACGTGCTTGTACCTTAAATTTAAGTGTTGCCAACTGCTAAACTAAAAATTCACAATCTCTAATTTCTGAACAATTAATCCGTTACAAAATATGTATTTGTTTGTAAAAATACTCAAAATCTAATTTAGAATTCAAAATCTAATTTATCATCCGTGCTACACTTTTTTCTTAACTTGAATAAGTTAGAAATTAAGACAAATTTTAAAGTCTTGCTGTTGGCAATTCTGATGACAAATTAATTAACCAATCGAGTAATTGGCGTGTAAGGTCTTCTGCGTTTTTGCACTAAACATCATCCCTTTCTTTTTGTTTGACACACGAATATATATTTATCTCATTTTAAATGCAAACATTTTTGAAAATTTCAAGAAACGCGAATAAAAATCTTGACGCTGAAAATGAGCGTCGATCTCGCGTGAGCATGAAAAGGCGTCTTTAGGAATAAACTTGTCACCTATTGAGAAGTTTGTCAATCCTGTTACAGATGATTCAAATTTTGTAACGTGTAAAGTTTAACAAACGGAAAAGACATTTCGTGTTTTGATGGGATAATTGTGAGATTAATTAACTTTATAGTTTTAATATTAGGCTATGTTCCAAAACTTCCTAAAGATTTTATTCTATATACTATAATTACTATATACGTTACTATATATTTCGAGTAAAATTTCGAGATCAAATATTATGGAGGATCATTGGATAGAATCATTGAAAACGAAATTCATAAACATGAATACGTCGACGCTCAAAGAATTGTTACTGTCCAAAGTAGAAGAATTAGATGAAATTAAAAAAGAGCGATTCAATGGTAAATTTTATTATTGAGTATGGAATAATTTAATTTTATAGGAAATAAACCAATAAGTTTATTGCTTGAAGTCCCGAAATTATAGAATACATTGTGTTATTATATTTTTATATATTTTTATATATTTTATAATCCTATATATTTTTAGAGGATGAAACTAAAATTAAGGAATTAACATCAAACTTGGCTGCTACGAAAGAAGCATTGCATATGGAAATTCAATCTTTAGAGAGCAAGAATAATAGGTTATCAGAAGAGAAGAAGTTTTTAGTGAGTGTACTTTTATTTTTTCCAGAAAGTCTACGGATGTTTATTATTGCAAAATATTTTTTAGGATGAACTGGAAACAGAGAACAAGAAATTCTTACAAGAGATCAAACAGTTGGAAGGAAAACGTACTAACTTGAAGTCTATTAAACCAAATTTACAAGATCAACAATTACTGGAGCAAGGAAGGCATGTATTATCATTTATTAATGAAATCTGTTTTATTAATATTGTCATAATTTTGTTTGTTTCATAGAAAAAAGTTAAACTTGTATAAGGACTTAACAAGGATACAGTGGGATTTTGAAGCTATATATTCAAAGCACAATATTCAAGGCTGTATCCTTTTTCTAAATATTTATATACATGAAATTAGCTAATATATAAAATCAAGTACAATTTTGTATTTCACACTAGCTAGTTCTTTTACCAAGTAGCAGATATGCATATCCTTAATTTTTAACACAGACGTTTCAAACAGACGCGACTACATTCATCATTTCTGTTATGATGCTCAAGAGACTAATAAAAAGTTAACTGACTCACTATGGCATGAAATATATTTGTCTACGAGCGAAGCTGAAGTCAGAGATGAGAATCTTCCACCAAATTAATATAAATATTATACCTAAATGATACAATTTTGATACTTGATTACTTTTAGAAATAGATAATATATGAAGATGTATATTGATCTAGGATAAGGTGATACAATTTCTTACATAATATAATTCTGAACAAAATAAAATTTAAATCGAATTTTTTAGGTACAGGTTTAATAATCCTCTTTGTGCGGAGGATTCTGAAGAATAGAACAAAGAAAAAATTGAATTTTGAAAACTGAATTAAAAACTTTTATTTCGTTCAGAATTATACCGTGTTTAAACTTATATTACTTGTATATATTTGTACCAAACCTGTAATAATAAACACTTTTTAATTTTCATCTTTTTATTTTTTTTTAAATTCTTTTATTATTAAAGATTTTTATTATACAATCACTTTTGTACAGTTATTAGATTTTAAAGATCAAAAGATTAAACACACGGTTCGTATAATATAATGTGTAATAAATACAAAAAACAAATAATCCTACCATTATAATAGTATTTATGATGCAGAAAAGTACACAGCTTAAAATACTCGCGCCAATAGCCAATACTGTCCCTGAAAACAATATGTGCTTCTTTAATATCCAGCAATTTTATGATCAAGAATAAGAAATAGGATTGCTTACCTTGAACTATCATAAAACCAATAAATACGAATACAGCACTGACAATACCAAATATAATAAACAAGAAGATGGGCGCAAGAAGCGATGCTAATGCAATGAAGGTAGCCACTTGCAGAAACGGATTGTGGGCTAACTGGTCCTTAAATCTGAGGATAAATTTACGAACATTAGGATGTTGTAAGAACGTCTGGCATTTTTTAGCCCGTTTTTCATCTGGAATTAAACATCAATCCTTCATTCCTCTTTCAAAATGATAGAATAAGTAATGTGACAAACTGAAGTGCATGATGCATATACTTACAATACATGATTATTGAATCGTATATACTGTCATTTTGTGTCTGAAATAAAACAATCTGTGTTTACTCATTTCAAATTAGCAGAAATATAAGGTAGGAAAAAAGGCAATACTGAGCAACATTAACATTGCAGAATAATATGACTGTAACAGTCTGTATAGATACAAATAAATAACATGACAGTATAGAGAACGGATAAAATAATGTAAACATCTGAGAAATATACTACTTGTCGGGATTATGAAAGTTATTTTGTAAAAGTAAGTAAACTAGTTACAGTTTTGTTCTCGAAAAATAATTTGTTATTACAAATTAATTCTGAAAAGTATTTTCGTACGTTTTAGTTATTTTTTGTAATTTTTTTGCACTTTTTTATTTTAAATATAAGAATCTTACATTTCTGATAATACTAAAATATTTTGTTCAATCATTCGCTATTTCATTTATAACAAATTAATATATATACTTCTATTGAAATTAGACTTATGGAATTAATAATTCATTCACATACTAAAAGACTTTTAGTTTAATTTTTAATTTTTACAGATAATTTAGGGAGAATAATTATTAGGAATAAAGATGTATTTCAATCTCAAGAAATAAATTGTTTACTTCATTTTGATCAGTCAATATGTTGAATAAATTTATAAAAAGTACTATTAAATTACAGTTAAAAAATGTAATTAAGTTACAATTATGAATGGAAAAAAAGGAACACAGTTATAATTATTGAAAAAAAAAACTTTAACTATACTTTGTTAAAGTAACGAATTACTTCTTAACCCTACTATTTATTTTATTAATAACAAATTCGCTTATTATTTGTCTTTAATATGGATTTTATTCTCGTTGAAATAAAGTCATGTATACCTGAATAGTGTAACAACTGCTGCAGTGCAATATCATTTTTGTAATAAAACATCTTTAATTGTTTTAAAAATATATTGAAGGAAAAAATCTTTTTCATTTATTTTCAAAATTACAAATAATATTTAAATGAGGCGACTATATTGGCTAGAAAAAAGTATTGAAATTTTTAAGAATAGAGAGGAATTTTAGAAAATAGAATGAAAAAATTATATAAAATTTTATTGATAAAGCATTGATCTGCAGAGCACAAATTAATAATAACATTACATCAATGTTGTAATTTCCTATTCAATGTAATGTAACTGTTATCTGTTACATTATGTATTATATTCCTGTTGTTGAATGAAAAAAGTATAGTTAGAAGGCTAAGATTTAAGGCTAGACCTAATTAATTACAATGATGAAGTACAGTTAAGGGATAGATGGATAAATTTATTTGTAATCCAAATCTCTTTCTTGATTTTACATAGCTGAATAGATATATGTATTAATTTATATTGTTGAAATTATAATATTTAGTTTTTTTACTATTAATTTATGTTCTACGGAGATTAACTATTTCAAAAGTAAAATGTGTATTAAGAGTGACGGACCAACTTTTTATTCAAACAAATAGTAAAGAAATAATATATTTCTCTTATATTACTTTGTCTATCCCCTGTATATTTAATTTACCTCTGTCATTTCTGTCAAAGTTCTTCAAAGTAGTTTTTAGATGCAGTTAAACACTTCATACATATCATGACTTGCACAATACAATTCGAAATAAATAAATAAATATATCTAGCTTTTGCACATAGCAATTTTCGAAAAGATAGATATTTATCCAAATTCAGAACTGACGTTATTATTAAATCACATCTTATTGCATTGTATACATATGTGCCAGTGTTTCTGTATCTATTTTCTCTCCTCTCTTATCTTCCTCTCTTATCAACAAAAAAATGTCAAAGTCCAGACAGATTTGCGCAAAAGCGATACGCAAAAATCAATACGCACAAAATCAATATATCTATTAATTATCAACCTCAATTTAATTATGGATAGTTCTCATTGCATTTCTTATGCGATCTCTCGAGATGTACGCATTTATTTACTTATATTTTATATTTTTTCTTTGTACTTTATATTTTCATATTTTTTATGCAGCTGAAATAAATGAGTATTTATAATATCCAAAGTCCTTTGTTAGGATCGAATTTCGAATCGGAGTTCGCTCGTAGATTTTTAAGATATTTGTATATATTATAAATGCCGAACTCTGCAGCGCTCCCGTAGCCCGTAGGTCTTTATTGAAAGCTTCCGAGAAACTCAAGAGTTCCGATCCGAATGAAAATGAAAATGCGCGGAGGACACGGAGACGGAGGTTAGCGTGACGTGCATTTATGTGCACGGTGGAACTTGACAGATTAACTACATATTAACAACGCTAAATATGCGCATGAAAATTATGTGCTTCAGCGGGACGTTGACGAGAGCTAAGGCTCTAATACGAAATTGACGTCTACAAGCTAAATGAATTCGCAAACAATGCAGTTACAGATATCGCTGGACACTTCATTTGATGACAGGACTGCTTCATCCTGGTCGAGGTATAATCAGCGGATTACATCATTTTGTAGGCGGTCACTGATTTTCTAAACAAAAGAGTCGCTAATTCATTAATTATTTATGACTTTGACTAAATTCCGATTTTACTTAATCAGTGATTAATATATTATTAAACAGTATTGGCCTGTACTTATTTTGTCAATGACATATATAATTTTTTGTAATTTAATTTACAAAAGAACAGAGATAACGAATTATAATAAAAAAATTTACTTTAAGCAATTCTATCAATTGTATTAATCAAAGTTTGATCAAAGCTCTTATTAAATTAGCTCTTATTAAATTAACTCTAACTTAATCAGTAATTAACTTGTCAAGCAACTTATATTTATTTTATATATACATGTGAAGTTATTAAATTTTGAATGTTTAATTTCTAATGAGCAGATTAGATTAGACATAACAAATTGTAATTAAAATATGTTTTAAATTCTGTCAATCAAAATTTGATCAGAATTATCTTTACAATTGCTATTACAAATGAGATTGGATATAAGTCTCTTTTGTTCAGGAAGGAGAGGCAGAAATGGTTCCTGTCGTTGCTATGTGGCACATGTCTGATATATGCTACACGTACATCTGTTCCTCTGTTGATACCTGTTGTCAGTCAGGAGAAGAATTGGTCCAAGTCGGACTCAGGCATAATATTATCGAGCTTCTTCTGGGGATATACATTGACGCAAGTAGCCAGTGGCTACATTAGCGATAAAATCGGTGGCCAGAGAGTATTGTGGATATCTGCTCTTGGTTGGTCGGCAACAACCTTCCTCATGCCGGAAATTATAGAATTCTTTTCTGGAGATGGGACATCCATTCTGCTTGTTGCAGCAGTGAGAATGATAAATGGAGCATTCCAAGGTAATTTTCAAGTGTTCACAGCTGTACTGCTGGCGATGGAGGATAATATGACACTTGTCACTTACAGGAATGCATTTTCCTAGCATGATTAGCTTAATCAGTCAACGCTTGCACGAGGCAGAAAGGGCCTCCTTTTTTAGCTTATTAACATCAGGATCTGCTCTGGGCACTCTACTCACTGGGTCTTTAGGCTCGTATCTTCTGGAAAATTATAACTGGATGACTGTCTTTCGAGCGTTAGGTACAATGTAGCTTATGTAAATCGATGTCAAATTAATTGAAGAATCCACAGATAAATGATGATAGTTTTTGAGACGTCATGTAAGAATAATTTAATAGTTGAATATATCTCTTTGTTAATTTTATTTTCAAGCAAAAATGAGAAACGTTTGTGGTGCTTACTAATTTACTTATATAGGGAGCATGAGTTTGGCATGGACAGCTTTATTAAGCTACCACACTCTGCCTTTTAAGGAAAAAACAGCTTCTATCAAGTCCACCACCGACTACACTTTGCCTTGGTCCAAACTTCTGTCACAACCTCCTTTCTGGTAATTATAATGCATGGGCTTCAATATTTTCGAAACCTGTTTTATATTTATATAGGCTAGAAGTAGAGAGACTTTTATAATCAGTTAACCATTGCAATTAGATTGTACTTTCCCAAGACTCTACTGATTTAATGTTTTTGATTTTCGCATTTTAAATTATGAATTCTTGGAATCAGTTCTTGGAAATGTGGAAAATTTTTAGAATTTTTAGATAATACAATCTCTTTACCGATTATATTTTCCTAACTTTGTTGATTTCGAAACTTCATGATTTTACCCAAAAATAATGAAAGCTTGAATTACGCATATATACTTTAATTTACATAAATGCTCTGAATCATTCAATTGTGAATTATATAAAATTATGATCTGAAAATTAAGATTTATAAGATAAATATAATATATTTTATAGATCAATTTTCTCATTTATGTTTGTGATTGTTAGTTGATTTTTATGATTTTCAGGTCCTGCGTTATTGGACATGCTTGCCAAAATAACTGTTTCTTTGTATTACTTTCATGGATGCCTACATATTTCCATGACACATTTCCTGAAATAAGGGTAATATTATTATCTAATTTTTATTCAGTATTGTTGCTTAGAAAGTCTATGAAAAGTATATGAAAAGAAAAGATATAAGAAGTGTTCTATAATAAAGATAGTAAATAATATCTCATATTCATAGCTAAGAAAAAGCTAAATAATAAGTAATTTGTAATAACAACATAGTAATTTTTTTCTTATCATATCATGTTAAATAAACTTTAATTAACAGGGCTGGATTGTAAATATGGTGCCATGGCTATCGATGTTACCTTGTACATTCTTGGGGAAAGCTCTGTCAGAAGAGATAATTAAAGCTGGTTATTCTGTTACTGTGACACGCAAAACAATCCAAACGATTTGTTTTGTCATCGAAATTGGAAGTCTGTTATTTTTGGGTAAGTTTGATCCTCGGTAATCAAGGTTTATATAACAAAAGTGTAGAAAAACTTGTTAAAACTTGATTTTTGGGATTACTTATTTAAATATCTATAATAAAGTCCTTTTTAAATAAAATAATTATTAGCCTTTGTCAGTTCCAATATTACATTATTCGACGCGTTTTTGTGCGAAATGAAAGAATCTAATGAAAAAGTATTTAATAATTCTTAATAATTCTTTAAACAACATTGTAATAATGTACATATTCCCCATAGCGAAAGTGGAAAGTTTTGAAAATGCCATACTTTGTCTCGCGTTAATTATTGGTGGCTCAGGCTTCCACAATAACGCTATCGCTGTTAATCCCTCGGATCTTGCACCAAAGCACTCCGGCAGTGTATTCGGTCTAATGAATACTGTTGGCGCAATACCTGGTAAGTAATTAATATAAACAATCGCATGAACAGCTATTGGGAGTACAAATAAGTTTCCGCCGTTTTTTATCAAAAATTAAGCATTTATTGAAAGAACGGTACATAATGTTTTATTCAAAGTAATGGCCATCGCTAGCCACTACTTTTTCCCATCTTTCTGGTAGCATGTGGATATCGCGTCGGAAGAACGCTTCATCTTTTGAGGCTATCCAATCATTGATACAATTTTTGGTATCTTCATATGATGTGAAGTGCTGCTCAGACAGGCCATGCGTCATCGATCGGAACAAGTGGTAGTCGGAAGGAGCAATGTCTGGAGAATACGGTGGGTGGGATAGAACTTCCCATTTGAGTGTTTCTAAGTAGGTTTTGACCGGCGCCGCAACATGTGGTCGAGCATTATCATGCAGGAGAATAATTTTGTCATGCCTGGAATAGTAGTGGGTGCGTTTTTCCTTGAGTGCTCGGCTCAATCTCATCAATTGTGTTCGGTAGAGAGCCCCAGTAATAGTCTCGTTCGGTTTGAGTAACTCATAATACATGACACCAAGCTGATCCCACCAAATACACAACATGAGTTTTTTTCCATGAATATTTGGCTTGTCGATGTTGAAGCATGGCCAGGTGGTCTCCATGATTTCCTCTTCTTTAGGTTATCGTAGTGAATCCATTTTTCACCACCAGTGACTATACGATGCAAAAAAGCCTTTCTTTTATGTCTGGCAAGCAGCATTTCACATGTGAAAAATTGGCGTTCAATGTTTCTCGGCTTCAATTCATATGGAACCCAATTCCCTTGCTTTTGAATCATTCTCAATGATTTCAAACGATATGAAATTGTTTGTTGAGTTACTCCTAATGTAAGTTCTTTTTGCGTTTGACACGAATCTTCATCCAATAATACTTCCAATTCCGCGTCTTCGTATACTTTCGGCCTTCCGCTACGTTCTTTGTCTTCGACGTCAAATTCACTGTTCTTAAATTTTTGAAACCACTCATGACAACTTCTCTCACTTAAGGCAGCATCACCATATGTTTCTACAAGCAATCTATGAGCCTCAGCTGCAGATTTCTTCAAATTAAAGAAGTAAATCAAAAGTTCCCGCAAATGACGCTTATTCGGCTCAAAACTCGACATTTTCGTACAAAAAAAATATATGATGCTGATACAAAATCGCTAATATTTCAAAGTTATGGTGTTGCCGGATGTCCAATCTTATGATGTCGTTTTACATCAAACAATTTTAATTATAGTTTATTAGTGACGCCGTCTTTTGCAAACGGCGGAAACTTATTTGTACCCCCAATAATATATTTTCTTTTTTTTTTTCAGGTTTTCTCGGTGTGTATTTTTCCGGACACATTCTACATGTGACACACAGTTGGCCTGCTGTCTTTTTATTTATAGCTGTTATTGATGCATTAGGATGTATAATGTATTTATTGTTTGGCTCGGGCCAAGCAATCATATAAATTGTAAAATAAATTTTTATTAATAAAGTTTAAAAATCAATTGTTATTAAACGAATTTTAAAAATAAATTCTCGTTAAATAAATTTTTATTATGTTATCATTCTAAAAATCATTCAAGATCTCACATCTTAGTCTCTCATTGGCGAAGAAATGAAAAATTACTAGAAACAGGCCAATGTGAGTAGTTTGAACGATGCAAGTGCGCCACTCCCATTGCTGTTTGCACTTTTTGCACTCAGCATCTTCGTTTTCTCTCTTTTTCATACTTAAATATATATCTGTCTCATTTTAAAGTGCAAACATTTTTACAATTTTAAGCAACGCGAAGAGATCTAGGTCTGTTTTTCATTCTTGCTCTAGATTGCATTAGAATTCTCTCACTTTCGCCAATTATGAACATATCTATCTTATTTAACTTTTAAGTTTCAAAAGTGTATATACTAGTTCAATAAAAAACAGACTCTTTATATATAACTTGCGGTTATTTGCGACGTTAATGCGTACGTGTGTAATTAGCGATGAAAAAGTAAATAATGGCTGCGTTCAATAGAGAAAATTAATCGATTAGTCACAATTAGCTTAATTTTTTTTTTTTTAATATGATTGGTTCTTACACTTAGATCCAACAAAGAACTAAAGGCAAGAACCAATTATATTAAATAATCACTAAATGTTAACTGAGTTAGTTTCTTCTGCTGAATGCAGCCGAACTGTTTTCGTTCATAGCAGTTCATATAAACAAGAATTCGCAGATTTTTGGTTTTTGTAACATTGACCTTGATTTTAATTTTTCTTCAGAAGTGAGTAATACTTTATCATATTTTTTAATTAGTAAATCTAAAATGCCGGTAGTGTATGTATTTGTTGTAAATTTACAGCAATATTTTACTTAAAATAACCTATATGTTTAGATCTTTTTTCATAAAACATCTTCGAAATTGTAACATCGTTTTTTTTTGGACAACTTTAAAATGTTCATAGGTGTTCTTCAATATATTATTTAACTGCAAAATAATAGTAATAAATTATATGTCGATAACAGAAATGTCACAAGATGAGGAAGTAGATTCGCAAACGAGTCAGTGGTACGGAGTACGAGAAGCCACATTATTTCTCGTCGATTGTACAAAGAAAATGTTTATGCATTCATCTGATATTGATGACAAAAAAATCACTTACATCGAAAAATTTTTCAAGGTCGGTTATAACATTGCATGTTAGTTTGAGACTCATTCTTTTTAAATGAACTTTTTGCATAGTTTATTTTTCCTTTTCTTTCTCTCACATTAGAAAGAAAAAAAAAAGGAAAGTTGAATGTGTATATGTTGAATGTGTAAAAAATTCAAATAAAAAAGAATGGGACTTGTTGATTAAAGAGTTATATATAACTGATTGTCATTCATTATCCTTTCAGCTATACAAACAAATTCTTCGGCAAAAGTTAGCATGGAGTATGCAAGATTGGATGGGTGTAGTGCTATTTGGCACAGAAAAGAGTGACTCAAATTCACCATGGACAAACATTCGGACTCTGCAAGAACTCAGAGTTGTTACTTTGGATGATTTACAACAAATTAGAAAACTAAGCAAGTATAATTACAATCGATGCTGAATGTAGCACATTTTCCAGGAATGCGAGACACAACTTTCATTAATTATTTTTTTTATTTTTACAGCTAAAAGTGGCATGAAGGGTTATGAGAGTATGAAATTAAAAAATAATATTCTGCTTCTCGATGCATTGACATATGCCACAGATATCTTTTTGAAAATAAAAACAGTCCTCACTAAACGTAGGATAGTTCTGATCACTTGTTATGATCCCGACTATTCGGACGATGAAAAGCATCGCATTAGAGCAAAGGCGAAATCTTTGAAGGAGTTGGACATTAATTTACATGTCATCGACTTGAGAAATAATTGGCCGCTCGATGAGTTCTATAAAGATTTAGAAATACTGTCGAGGAAGATAGAGATAAGCGTTTACAGAAGGACATCACTTGTTGATTTGGTACAACAGATTAAAGCTCCATCCAAAAATATCGCACGCTTATCCTTTCAGATATGCGATGGTGTGGAGATTGATTTAGTGGTGCGTACTCTGGGCAGGTAGGTCTTTCGTAAGAATACTATTAATTTTATAATATTATAATTAAATTTTGTACAAGCAAAAACGCAAGTTTTTAAACGCACTCATTTTACAGAAAACGTAGATATTTGCAAACGAAGCCATTAAGCAAAGCGACTAATCAAGTTTTGTCCAGATCAACCTATTTCAAGGATACCAATTTTTCCATTGATGAGGTGTATATCTTTCGCTTAACGTAACGTAAAAATTTGCTTAATCTTAATCGGTCTTTTTCGTCAACCCAATTTTTCCGTATTTTCTTCAATTATGTTGTGAAAAATTGTTTATAAGAAATATTTTTTTCACAATCTTATATAATTTTAAGTTACATAATCTTATCTATCTCTCTTTCTTAGATCTTGACCTTTAAAGTGACAAAAAAGTTCAATTATGTCAACTTTGAACAAAGATATATTAATTTAAAAATTAAGATATACTGTGAACCCGCGAACACGAGTTCCGATTAGAATTAAATTACATGTAAAGTATCTTGAATTTATTTCTTATACTCGATTTATTTAATTTAGGAAGACAGTGACAACGAGGAATCTGATTTACCTTTTATGATACCAGAAGAAGTTAACTTAGAAACTAAGGAATTGATCGGAGGCAAGAAGCTGCGTTTCACGCGAAAGGAACTCTTGCGAATAAAACATTTATATCCACCAGCCATCAAGATAATTGGTGTAAGGCCTATACCCAGTGATCTTTTCAGATATCATGTTAAACGGAAGTACTTTGTTAGAGCGGATTATGGTAGTACTCGTAAAGGTAACGCATATGTATATAATATGTATATAAAAAAATTAATTAATAATGTGCGAGGTTTAATTTATTGTGTACCATAAAATTACATAGATATATGTGAAATGTGATAACACTTTGTGATATCACAACATTTAATTACTATATAAAGGCTAATCTATATATACTCTAATGTGCTCTTTGCTTTTTTTTTGATTTTATTTTTTTGTTTTTTTTCTCTTTTTGACTATTTTATTGATAATCTTTTCCGAAGTTTTTCAACTTTTATCTCGTATGAGAGAAGACGAAGAAATAAAATAAGTACGAAGGCAAGAGGTAAAAAGTAAGAAACAGGAAGTAAAGAGCACATTGTAGATTAGCCTTAAAACTAATGTCAAATGTGATCATTGTTTCTTTTTGCAGACAATCTATTGTTCTTCAGCGCTTTATTAAATAAATGTGCGACTAAGAATAAAATGATAGTGTGCGCGTTCACAATGCGATTGAATACACAAACTAATCTCTGCTACATGATTCCGAACGCTGAATTGGGCGGCTTTTATTTATCGAAAGTCGCATTTCAGGGTATGTCTAATTATATTTTACATAATTACACTATCAGAGAGAGATTCAAGATATTCTTTACTTAATGAATTTAATTTTATATTAGGGAACGTAGGAGACAAGAGCGAAGCGTTGCTACATTATGACACGCAGAATTCTGTATCTGACAAGGAAGTTGCGCTGTGGAAAAAAACGATCGATCGACTCGATATGAACTATCATCCGTATAATTTCAGATCTTATAAACTGGAGTGTCAGATACAAATAGTGGAGAAGTTAGCTCTAGATAAAGAACCTGGCCCTCCACCGATTGATTCCATCGAGAAATCATGTAAGTAATTCTATTGAAATAATAAAAAAAAAAATATATTTCAGCGAAGTTTGAAAACACTTTTTAAAAACTGACATTTGGGATTACTTATTCAAATATCCATAACAATGTTTTTTTAAATTCTTTAGAGAGAAGTATTTTAACAATTGTAAGAATTATTGGCTTTGATTCTACAAAATTTAGTAAAAAATTATTATGAAAAAATATAGTTATGAGTATTTGAGTAAATAATGTCAATTCAAAAAAACAAGAGAATAAAAAGTATTTCCGAACTTTTGATCTGGAGTGTACAAAGTAAGATGGGTACTACTGGGGTAGAAAAAATAAATTTATATCAAATTATAGATTAATGCCAACTTTTTTTCAGATTTAATAGCTAAACAGAAAACAAGTGATTTAATATCTGAATTTTATAATATGTATCCTGATTTACTATTTGTCAATGGTCCAACAAAAGCAAAAAGAACTAAAAAAAAATAGGAGATATGTTTATTAAAATGTGTGATTATGCATGTGAAATATTATGTTACATGAGAATATTTTTAATGATACATAGAAATTTTATTTCGCATTTTCTTGAAAATTACTTATATAATAAAAATCTTAAAAAAATAGATAGGATCTTACTATATAAAAAAATAGAAATATTGTTCGTTTTTAAATGCTACATTTTATTTCACAAATATACACTTATAATATATGTATCTTATATATACCTGTGAAATTGTATGTTAAAATCTTGTTTCTTTAGAATATTTCAATTTTGTTTTGTTATATAATTGCTGTCAGTCTTGAAATGGATATAGGTATTTAGAAACCAATTCCAATTAATGCACAATGTAACATCATAAAATTTATATAAATAAACTCAGTTTTTTATTTGGCAATATATAACGTTCTGTTATTAAAATATCTATTGTTATTTTTAATACATTTTATTAGAATAATACTATTATAGATGTAGGAAGATAAAATTATTAAGGCACCAAGATGGTAATGTTCTGACAATTTAAATGCATATGAATGTTTAACAATATTTCCATTTATGTATATCAAAATACATTGTTTTATTATGTTCTATTTTAAATATATCTGCTACAGTTAGTCATTTTGATTAGGCCACAAAAGGATAAGGCACATGCAAATTCCTGTATAACTCACACAGAATTGTTTAACTATGTTTTGAAAAAATCTTATAAACATTATGCAAAATGTGCATTTCTAATGACAAATGTTAAGATAGAAAATTTGAATTTTTGCACACTTTCAACAACCTTATATAAATATGTATCATAAAATAATTTAAATACAAAATTACTTAGATCCTATAATCTTGAATATATGTATACTTATTACTGCAATGAGCCAATGCGCAATTAAAAAGATGCAAAAGTAATATTATCATTAGTCTCTCCTGTGCCATCCTTTACTTCAAACATGCGGGCTTAAAGTACGACACAGGTGCTTTTCTCACGAAAGGGATTTGACTTCTGTGATGAGAAGCCCACCAGTAGGCAGTCCTCCTGCTCGTGCTCGGTGATGTACTTCATGATGTCTTCGACGGCTTTGCTCACCGTGATCCGCTTCAAGGCGGCCTCGCGGCGCAGCTGCTCCGTCACTTGGCGTTGCTGTTGCAAATTCGACATCACCATGTCCATAACAGCTGTATGCGTGAGAGATAAGTCAGAAAGTGTCAAACTAGAATTCTCGCACAAAGAGAAAACGGAAGAACGCATGAAAGGGGAAACACACCACAAATTAAGGGCTAACCTGGACCTGGACCTGATACGATGCTTGAATCCCACTTTTACAGATCGTGGAGAACCTTCTCTCTCGACAACTCGGATCTTTCTTTCCGTAAAAGTAATCCGTAGACTGATTCTATTCACATTCCTCACGATCCTCACGATTTATCCTGATTTATCCTTTCCGTACCAAATGTGCCAATCCCTCAAGGTGTACTCACATGTGCAACAAATCGCACGCGTTGATTGGCTGACAAACATCTCGTAAAGATGCGTTATTAGAAATTGAATCAAAGGAGAATGTTCTAAAATAATTCGTATATTAAATATCGTATATTAAAACACAACTAATTATTATGAATAAATAATATTTTAAAAAGGATAAAATTATTAATTTTTGCTTCGATATATCGCATCTTTAAAAGTATTACAACTCAAAAAGAAGTTTAAAAAAATCATCAAATCATTACAGGGTCTTTTTTAATTATAACAATTTTGATTTTTGTGTGCTACTTAGGGAATGATTTTTTAAGAATTGTGAAATAAAAATGATGTTTAATATATTAAAAAATATATTCTTTTTGTTAATATATTTAATCTGTAAATAAAAAAAATGTTCTGTTCTAGATTGAAAAATAATTTTTCTCGTTTTTTGGAAAATTTAATTTTTGAATTGTGTCATTTTTATAGAAAACAATTATGATAAGGAAGATTAAAAATTGTAATGGACAGCGGATTATATATAAAAATGTCGCTATAAATAATTTGTTGCTCGAATTGATTGTTTGAAATTTGTTGTTATCATAATATTATAAACAAGTTGAATAATTATTATTTTTATTAGATGTTATGTTATATTTCACAAAAGTATAGCATAACATCTAATAAAAAAAAAATTTAAAAGCTGAAAAAGTTTAAAGCAGCCTTAAGGTTGATTTACAATGTCAACTTACCGCGCATCAAAACACATTCTGGATGCTTATTTTCTCTAATTTTCTCTAATTTAATTAAATATTCACATTAAATATTCACTGTTGATTATTCGAAAAACAGTGATGTTATCTCAATTAAAATATTATAGATGAAAGTGACTTTCTAACGTGACTTGTTAATGTTTGAATAATAATATCTAATAATAAATGATAGATAGATAATAATAATAATAACAGCAATTTCAATTAACTTTAATCAACGGTTAATCCATTGGAATTGACCAATCGCAGTTATTGTCGTTAAGCGAAATGACAAATGATTATCAATAAATGATTCCAATAAACTAATCGTCAATTAAAATTAATCAGAATTAGTCAAAATGATTTTAAGGGACTCTGTGCACAATAGAGGAAATATTAGGAACAAAAATAAATATGAAACATTGAAGAAATACAAAATTAGGGATAAAAATTAAAATTAAGGGCTGCATACAATAAAAGAAATATTAGAAACAGATCTAAATATAAAAATTTCAAATCGATCGATCAGAATAATTGAGAGTTGTTGATTTAATTGAATTAATTTTTAAATGATTCAATTTTAAGCATAACTGACAACGATTTCGTAACAATGTGGTTTGTATAAGGATTTAATTAACTCTATTTCACAACCAATTTTTTCTTAAGTATAGCGTTATTACGATAATTTTTGTTTCTATGAAGAAAAATATATAAGAAAATGGAAAAATAAATAAACGATTCCTGAAAAGGTCGTACTCTTTTTTTCTTAGCCAACAATCACGAGACGCGAATACTTAAGGTCTGTTTTTTATTGCTGCTCTGAACCGATATAATAATTTGAAGTGAAATAAACTTATATTTGTTTCATCTCAACTTATTGCACTGTGTGTACTAATTCAAAAAGTGCAGCAATAAAAAATCTTTAGATGAGGAGCCGGAGGATAGCGTATATAATCTTGAACAGTCTGGAATGAGCCAGGGCGCCCGTAAGCGTCCGTGATCCCGGACGCGTCGTACGTCATTGCGCGAATTCGGCCAATCACGAGCGCTTGCCGCTCGCGATTGCGCGACGAGCCGTGGCGTGTATCGCGCCTGCGCAGCACGGCGCTCGCGGCCGTGCGAAACTCCACATGAGCCTGTTGCCAGTTATTGATCCTGGCGCGATTAAACAACACCGCATTGCTGTCAACTACGAAAACACAGAGCTTCGCCACGTCTCGGCCTGCACTCGGCGTTCCAGCGTACGACGTAAAAGCGTCGAGGACGACCGTGAGATTCGATCGACGGTCATCGTTCTTCCTAAAGTGTTTAACGATTCTACCACCGTATCCTCGGAGCAAACCGCTGGTGCGCGACGCGAGAGAAACTGACGACACACGATCGCGGCATCCCGTCTGTGTCTCTGTGACACAGCGCAACGCGTCGCAGAGCGGTGCGGCGCGGCGCGGAGCGGAACGGAGCGGCTTCACTGACACGTCTGCTGACACGTACTGTCAAAATGTAGAGAGGATCAACATCGACGACGGTGGCAGCAGCAGCAGCAGCAGCAACAGTGCTTTCAACGTCGAGAAGTTGATTGCGCTCGCGAAAGAGAGAGAAAGAGCGAAAACATGTCATTGGATTTTCGCGAATGAACCTGGAGCAAAGAAAGAGAAAGAGAGAGGAGTCACGGCGAGCCAGATCTTCGAATTCTTGGCCGTGATTTTGTAGACGGACGGCGGCGATTGCACATGTGATCCCCCTTGAGTGGTCGACCCCATTTGGCAGACGCGATGAAGAAGTTCACGATCAAGGGTGTACTCGACGGGTTCCGGTCGTCGGTCCCGCAGCCCACCAAACCCGACCAGGAAATCATCGAGAACCTCAGGCCAGAGCACTTTCAAGTTAAGAAGGTCAGTATGAAAAGTTCACCCTGGTATCCCTCCACCCCTTTCAGTCCCCACTTCATCCTCTTTCCCCGTTCGCCCTAATTAAAGTGGACCTGTCGATAACATGCCTCGGCGCATTTTTCACAGACCTTCGCTGATCCAGGGAAGACTTTTAGAGAAGTCTGACGATCCGCTGCGAATCCGCTGTAAATATCGCACAAAATGAGATCTACCGCGGGTACCGCGGGTTTTTTCCTTCCCCGCGGTGTTTAACGATTGACTGAATGACGCAAGTCGCGCAATTAGAAATTTTATGGGGTCAGTCGTAACTCGTAATGTAAGGGAAAGTATTACGCCATCGACGGATGAGTAGATAGTGGCTATTTTTAACGAAAGATATAAATGACTTGGTGCAATACAAAGTTATCATCTGAATCACAAGAAAAGGGTACATATGTACATTTAAAAAAAAAAGATAACATTCCAGAAGCGGAAGAAGAGAGTACAATTTTATGCATTGAATATAGATATTTAATAAAATAAAATTTCTAAATCAATTTTTATTGATAACTTGTATTAATATAATTTTATAAATATAAAATTGTAATTAATCAATGTAATAATCAATTCAAAAGAGTACGATTGATTATCCTAAATACAGTGACATTATTACACCCTTGTTACTTGTCAATATTAAACAAGGATGAATTTACTGGAAAGGATAGTTTTACTTAAGTAGTTTTACTTAAAAATTTAACTAGACACAAATTTAAAAATAATTTAATTGGAGCAAATAATTATGTAAATAATCAAATTGGTTGCTAGAATGTAAAAATTTTTTTCAATATTGTTCATTATGCTTGAGATTCCTGCAGTATACATAATTATTTTTATGATCCAACAAAATTATTTTTACATTGAAAAAAATATCTGGTCGAAAATGAACAAACTATAGAAGATTTTGAATATATCAATTGGAATTCCGATTATCTCAACTAGAATTTAGTAGATTTAACTAGAAAATTCTTATTCGGTTATTTTCAATCAGAATTCCAATTAATTTAATTATTATTTTTATTATTATTATTTTTATTATTAATTTAATTAATTAATTTAACTAGACATTTTTCTTAGTATAACTTAATATCTAGCTAAATGTTTAGATACTTTAGCATTCTTTCCATATATGTTATTTCAAATGACTTATTTGTGTGATTCTTTTTGGAAAGCACCTGCAACATTAATTATTAATGGAATGCGCAAAACCCGTTTGTTACATTATATAATGCAAGAAGAAAAAGAGGAAGAAGCGAGATAATTAGATCCAAATTGGATTCAACAATTGGAGAGATTCAGTCTCATTCGTGTTTTATTTGTCATTTATCTTAAGTGCAGCGTTCGAAGGATCGTTCGTATAAAAGCCTGTTTTCCTCGAGTCCACCATCTCGTCTCGACTCTCGAGCTTTCTGCTCTTTGCTTTGTGTAAACAACCCCAGTGTGCCAGTAAATGCACCGTGTCAATATCGAAAGCTTACGTAATCCGAACTCGTTGGCATTCATATCGCTGAATAAATTCATATCAATTGCATCGCGCTATCCGTTAACTCTATCGAGTATACTCCATTTTGAATGCATCCATGATCTATATAATTATCTATTGACTTCTAGATCTAATGAAGCATTGAGAAAAATGGTCTGATTGGATTAAATAATAATTCTGGTGGAAAACGGACGAATCAGAATTTTCTGGTTAAATCTACTAGAATTCTACTAGAGTTCGGATAACTAAAATTCTGTTTGATATTATTGTGGTAAAAATAAGAAGTAGATTTTACCAGAAATATTATATCAACCAGAATTCCAATTATCTCAACTAGAATTTTAATAAATTTAATCAGAAAATTCTGATTTATCCATTTTCAACCAGAAATTTTTTTTAGTGAACAGGTTTAAATTGTCTACTCAGTAAACATCAACCTACGCCTACTCAATAAACATCAACGTTATAATTTCACACGCAATATAACGACTGATTCAAGTTCACAATGCTCGTGAGCATCATTTGCCCTTGTTGTGTGTAACATTTCATAAACAACCAGGTTGAAATGATTCTTAAGGGATGTTAGCGTGAATTGGACTGCGACCTAAATGTAATAATAACACGTGTTGTACATAACAGTTACATGCCATACAATACGAAAGCTTGCAGCAACATTATTGTAACGTTTACAATATTATTATAATATTGCTGGAATGATTTGTGCTGGACGGGATTGTTAAATGTGAAATTATAATATTGATGTCATGCATTTTATGTACTATTAATTGGTGTTTGCTGGGTATTTTGTTCTATTACAAAATTGATACATGTGAAAGTCATGTATCAGGTATTGTAAAACAAATACGTAATATGATACTTGGA